GTGGGATTGTTTCTGGAATTTCAAAAGGTGGGATTGTTTATGGAAGACCGACTAAAGGTGGGATTATTAGTTTACATTTTTCCATTATTATTTGCATTTATTTGACATTCAACAATAAACAAGTTCATTCATTTAATAAGGCTAATAATTAAATTAACGTACATACAATCAAACTAAGTTTACTTTATATATATATATATATATATATATATATATATATATATATATATATATATATATATATATATATATATATATATATATATATATATATATATATATAGCAATCCATTATAATCATACATTGCAATTTACTAACCACATTTAACAAACTAAAATGTTAACTAATATATATTCTATTAATAAATTTCATTTAAAGCTACTCAAATTCAAACAATATATATATACATATGAAACTTGGGTTAACTACTTGAAACCCTAACTTGAAATTTTGGAATAACAAACAATTATTACTAATTAATACATATGAAACTAAAATTTAGCAAGAACTCACCCTAATTTGAGAGTGAGAAAGACAAAGATTGAGGATGACAATTGGAGGGAGAGAGAGAGACAACACCCTCGAACACCACCACCAAGTGCACCCACGAACACCACTAGCAAACACTGGCAGCCTCGAGCAACCACCAGCAACCTCGACCAACCACCAGCAACCTCGACCAACCACCAGCAGCGCCTCGAGCAGCCTCCACCCACGACCCACAACGCAACTTCAATTCGCAATTAAATAGCCAAATAAAAAATAATAATAAAGTATATGAATGGAGTGGTGGTGGTGGTGGCCGGAATCTGAAGAAGTGAGAAGAGAGGTGAGGACGAGGGAGACATAGAGGAGGAGTGAAGGCGGGAGACAGAGATGAGGAGTGAAGTGAGAACGAAGAAGTGAAGTGGTGAAATTTCAGGGAGGAGAAGAGGGTCGTATCCCGCTTTTTTTTTTTAAATGGTAAACGGTTTGGCCTTGAACTGCTTTCCAATTTAACTAATGGTAAGCGGTTCAAGGCCAAACCACTGGCCATTAGTTAAAAGGCAAGCGGTTCGCGCCAAAACCGCTTGCCAATTCACTTCTCTCTTTTTTCTTTTTTTTTTTACTTAAATGGGAAGCGGATTTTGTAAACCGCTTGCCTATTATGGCTTCCCATCATATTTATTCTACTAGTGCGTTCATCAGATATGAGGAAAAAAAAATTAGTCGTCACTTTATTTTAATGCACATTTTTTTTTACTTCAGTATCTCATGATATTTGCAGGATAATGAAACTGCTTAACTCGTATACGTGAGAATCTGCTATAGTGCTGTGGATTTACGTGAAGAAAAAGGATGTTAATATATAGCAAGGATATCAGTCATTAAGCATGTATTTTTATTTTATATAACCATCTTCACAGCAGAGCTACTAATATGTGTTGTGTGACTTGTGTCATATGTGTCTCGTGGCCTATTATCCAAGTATTTTACGGTGGTATTTCTCGTTATACAAGTATTTTCATACCTATGTCTAAGAATTCTCTTTCAGACAAGTTACTAGATGAACCCTGTGCGATGCACGGTTTGTTTGAATTTTTTAAAATAATTTATATATATATATATATATTTATGTGCTAAAATTTGTTATATATTTAGATAAAATTCCTGATATCAAAAGATAATATTTTATATTTAATTAATTTAAACTTTAAAATCTCATTCATCAATTTTGCTTATGTGTCAGTTAAATTATTTAATTCTAAAAGAAAGTAATAATCTCGTATTTAATTGGCTACCACTAAAATTTATTATCCTACGTGGCGCTTTGAAAAAATTAAATCCTACGTGGCTCTCTAAAAACTCGGGGAAAAACTCCCCTTTATATATATATATATTAGATTGTTATTTGGATGATATACTACAAGAGTGGGGGTGAATTGTAGTATGTTCTTAATGCCTACTCTTCAGGGAATATAAAACTGATTGTTGTTAGGAACTTAGACAATGCAAAGCGAATTTTATGAGGAAACCATCCAGGGCCTAATTAGAAGTAAAACCTCGACCCTCCAAGGGATTTCAAGCCAAACCAATCCATTATAATAGGTCAAACACTCCTAGTTAAAACCTATTACAATAAGACATTTCTCACAAGTTTACGACTGAACTTGCTACACGATAGAGCCCTATCCTACCTAACCTAAGTCCCGGACTTAGATTCAACTCAATACTCTCTGAGAGTAGTATTCACTCGGCTTCACCCTGGAAGCTCACACTTTGCACTCATACAATTATGATAACGAGACTTCTCACAAACTCTCACACCCCAATACATAAAACACTCAAAACTCTCTTTCTCAATTACAAGAATAAAGAACAACTCTAAATACATAAAGAGATAAAACTTATATGTTGGACACTCAAGATCTATCTGGAACTTACTAGACAAATTGAAACCAAACCCTGACTGGAACTTTGACTATGAGGTTTGAATTAGCTTCGTGGTGAAGGATTAAACCATTAAGCATGACTATTGCACTTTGTCAAACCTCGACTTTGAATGAATCATTCTTTTCGTAAAAGATAAGTTTTATCAAAAGATATGTTTAAAAGATATATTCCAAAAATATGTTTTCCAAAAATATATCTTTTTGTTAAGAATATATTCTACCAATAATAATAAGATATTTACTATAAAATCAGATTTTATTTCAAACTTATACTTTCCAAATATACTAGATTATCTTTTTCAAAAGATATACTTATCATAAAATCAGATTTTATTCCAAACTTATATTTTCCAAATATACTAGCTTATCTTTTTCAAAGATATACTTATCATAAAATCAGATTTTATTCTAAACTTATTTTTGCTTAAAATACTTTCCAAAAATAACTTATCTTTTCCAAAAGAGATTTATTAGAAAATAAATATCTTTATTCTATAAAACCAAATCCCTACAAGTTATGCACGTATTAGGTAAATATTTATATCATTAAACCGACCTTTAAAGTCGTGCAGACTTAAGTTCCTATTAGGTTTCGGTACTCTGACAGTCTCTAAGTTCTTGACAAGTTAGTAACTCTAATTGCATTGACTGTTAGGAGTTCACCTAGTTTTATAGACTTGTTTCAGACTGACTTTATGTTCAACATACTAACATGAATCCTAGAGTGATATACTTCGATTTCTCCGTCTTCATGTTTTTTTTTTTGAAACTCTTGTTATGGAATCTTGTATTATTGATGTATTATAGATCTCGGGGCAATATTCCACATCTAGAACCGCAGTCCAAGTTCCTTAATGGAACTTGATGTCACTATTGTTCATTCCTTATTGGAACTCAGGTTCCTAATCGGAAACCAGGTTCCTTTCTGGAACTTGTTGTCATCTTCGGAGTCCAAGCTTCACTTTTTAGCTTGATGTCATGCTTCTGTTTGAAAGCTCGCTCCTTGTGTGTTCCTGTTAGGGAACACCTCATGTAACTATTAGGCAACATGCTCCGGCTCTCGTGGGAAAGCCTGCCGAAGGTTCCTTCTGCTACATCTCATTGGAGAATATCTTCATGTTCCTTCGTGGTTTGGTTCTCGTGTGAGAACCTGCTTTAGCTTCATTCATTCTCTCCTCTTCAATTCTTCTATGTTCCAACCCATTAACTTCACCTAAGTCAGTTCCTGTCTTCATATAGACACTTAAGAGAACATTAGATTGAAGTTTGTTTGTCATAAGCAAACTTCAAGTGAGAGAACTAGTTAAACATAAAGTAATATTCATACTCCTACACATATACAACTCATATATGCATGGAGTACTTACCTCATGAAGCTAACATATGCAAACACCTACTTACATATATAGTTACCTTCAAGGTTCCTTCGCCATCATCATGATTATCAACCATAACACTCATTATTGTGCTTGTTCCTCTATTGCTTATCCTATATTGCTCAAGTTCCTTATATATATATACTTGTCAATACTCTGGTTCCTTGTATCTTGTTCCAAGCATGACTTGTTCTTTCTATGCACATCTTAACAAACATGTTAGATAGATAATCATCATTAGTATGTAATCATCAAAACCTAATTACTCAACGCATATGAATTACTATCTTTGGATCGTATTATATGTAACTTTGGAATTTTTTATATCTCACAAACAATACCCCAAAGTTGTATATAATATGACCCGGAGGTAGTACATTTTATAAAAATAATTTGCGAAGGATTTTTTTTATAGTCTAAATAAACACCACGCAATCAACCGAAACTGCTTGAAAACAAAACATGTGTAAATTCCTAGTTTATTAAGTGTATAAATGTTAATTTTATATACTAGTCGCACTATACTAGCATTGAAAATCAATCAAACAGGAGCCATAATAAGCAAGAGGGATGAAGGAGTGAGTAGGATCAAGATCAATACAATTGAGTGATGAGAGTCTCAATATTCTTTAACAAGCATCATTATTATTTATAGCTAACTGCATTAGGAAAAAGAGGGCGAAAGATCTTTTTCTCAAAGACATTATATGAAATACCTGAGGTTGATGTACCGTCACTTATATTTGTTACGTGTGCCTCGTATCTGTTAAAAAGATTAATCTAGAAAAATCAAGTAAATGCTGTAAAAAAAAATCTAAGGGTAAAATATTCTAGAAAAGTCTAGATTAATAATCTATCATAAGATATTAGAACAATCTAGAGCAGTGTAGAAATTTCACCTAAGGTTATTAACCGACATATACTACAAGCCTAATATAAATATACCATGCATGTATTTGCAATGGTAGAACACTAGGAAATAAACTCACTCTCATGCATTAGTAAAACCATTTTATCATCCAATAAAATCATCACATTATCTTTTTTGTCTCTCAAGTCTAAACCCTAATAATCAACAAAACCCAAAATACTTCTGCACACTTAATTTCTAACATGTGGTATCAGAGCCACAAATTCTTAAAGCCTTCATATAATATCATACAAATATTAGCCCAAACATAACATAATATAATGGCTAATAACATTGTAAGTTTTCCATTTCAATTTTTGGGGGAGAAAATTATGATTTTTGTAAAATCAAAATGAAGACAATGCTATGCATGATAGTATGGACTATGGAGTTATGTCGACAAAGGATATAACGTACCTGAATATAAAATCAGCCTAAGTGATGCTCAAAGGAAGATACTTGTGGAAGAAAGGATGAAGAATGCAAAGGCATTATATCTCATACAATATGCGGTGAAGGATACAATTTTTCTTAGAATTATGAGGGCTAATACAGCAAAAGAGGCATGGGAGATTATGCAACAAGAGTTCCACAGAGATAGCAAGGTGAGAAGTATTAAATTTCAATCTTTAAGAAGAGATTTCGAAAATTTAAAGATGAAAGATAATGAGTTGGTTAAAGATTATTTTTCAAAAATTATTAAGATTGTTAATCAAATGAAATCATATGGAGAAGAAATTTCGAATGAAAAAATTGTGCAGAAAATTTTAGTATCATTAAATGACAACTTTTATGATATAGTTACAATAATTGAAGAAACAAAAGATTTATCCAACTTAACTATTGAACAACTTATGGGATCTTTAGAGTCCCATGAACAAAGAAAAAATCGTCAAAGTAATGATGAATATGTGATGGAGACCACGCTAATAGCAGCAAAATTTTCACTTATTCAAGAAGAAATCAAGAGAAATGGGTCCATGAAGAAGGCCGAGGGTAAAGATGAAGAAGATTCACCTAAGTACAAAGGTACGGAAAATAAATTATTTTGTAAAATTTGTAAGAGGACTAACTATGATAGTGCAGATTGCTACTTCAAAGGGAAAGCACAATGTTGGATATGCAAAAAATTTGGCCATGTTAGAAAGAATTGCAGGTTCAAGAAAGCTGATGTGGAAATTGCCAATTTTGGCAAGGATGATACTGAAGAAAGTTTGTTTTGAAGTGAAAATAAGAGGGTTCTAATGTTGGGGTTTGGTCAGTTTGACTCACCGCGGAAATAAATCCAAAAACAAACTGCACTCATAATAAATAAAATCATAAAAATAATTAAATTAATCACAAGATCAAGATAAAACGATTACCTTTTTGGAGCGTGCTTCGCCTGACTGAATGGGCTCTAACTTGAAAGCTAGCTCCAAAAACACGAAGCCTCCAACATTGATCCACCCGCACCAACGATTACTGACAAGGTCCAATGTCTTGGGGTTAGCAAGACCCGACCAATAAAACCCAAGTAATTGAGTTCAAAGGCTTTCACTAAATGTGATACCTTTTTCAACCCTTGAGTTCAAGGGTTTTCACTTACTAGTGATGCCCTTTTCAACTCTTACTCAAGCAAAGAATCCTAAGCCATGCTTTGGCTATTTATAAGGAAAGCTACCTTGTGAATTCCACTCATCTTTCAATGTGAGACTTTTTCACAAAAATATCCTTATTGATGAATTCAACCCTTAGTTAAATAAACCAAAGAACAAGTAACAAGTGTCACATGGTTAGGTGAGGACCACTTTCCCACTTGGTCCCCAAGGCAACTCACATGCATTGTGAGCTAACCATGTGTCACCCAACCTTGAGCCCCAAGTTGGGTTCGGTTGGGTCACTTTTTTTTGGCCCGTGTCCATGACCCGTCACCCGGGTCCACGACCCGCTTGCCACATGTGCTACCACCATGGCGCGCTGCCACTTAGTGCGCTGCCAACGTGGCTGCCACGTGTGCTTCCACATGGCGTGCTGCCACGTGGCACGCTCCTATTTGGCGCGCTTCCCTTGTTTTTGCGTGGCTAGGGTTTTTTCTTGTTACGTAAAGCATTTTCCCATCTCGCCAATTCCTAAATTTTGGATCGACATTTGAGATTCTCCGACGCTCGATTTCGACGCTCCAAGCTCGAATTTCTGATGTCTAAATATAAATTACTCGGTCGACTCATTAATTCCTTCCGAATTAATACGTCGATCCGTCTCGTTGACTGCTTGGGTGTGACCCGACGGGTTCAGTCAAGATTAAGCTGCATTAATATTACTGATCGAAAGCGGCCTCCACCTAGGCATTCCGTTCACTTGACCATACTGAATACCTTAGCTTTCTAATAATTTTGAACCCACTATCAGAATAATACACTTGTTCGAAGGACATTATTCCTTTTATCTAATGACAAGTGCATTAGTAGGAATATTTGGTGACATAAGTGATATGTCTATTTTATATAGTATTTTACCCCCATCCCTTGGTCATAATTAGTAGTGTTTTTGGCTCTTTAGAGCCACTTTTATTACTAATTGGTGTTTTCTAGTGTTTTCGTAGATTTGAATGACTTTTGTAGGGATTTGCACTTTTGAAGCATTTTCCCGAGATATTATGGAGCAATTACAAGCATTGGAGAAGCACGACCATTTTCTATAGCCCAGGGCTGGTTAGAGTAATCAAACCGGTGATTAAGGGCTCGGTATATGTGATACCGGAGCATTTGGACCGAGTATTCAAGACCCGAAGAGGAAACCCGGATTGGCCCGAAGAATTGAAGCCCAATCGAAGTCCAAATAGTGGCCCAAGAGTGCCGCCCGGCCAAAGAAGCTAGCGCCCGAAGGTGCGCCCGGCCGGGCGAGGGAAGTAACTCGACGCCAGAACTCGCGCCCGACCGGGCGCGAGATTTGTACCTGATGGAAAAAGGCGCGCCCGATTGGGCAGTACCTCGCCCGATCGGGCGCGTGTTATAATTAGGAGACGATTATCGTCGTTTAAGTTTGTTTTAGTTTAGGATTATTGCTTAATATAAATACTTTTCCGTTAAGCGAGTTTAGTATCTTCTTTTGCACTTTCTTAATTCCTTCTTAGATTTTCTCTCTCTACTTAGCTTTTAGATTAGTTTCTCTCCCTCATATACTTTGTTCTTGACTTTATTCTTAATTCCATATTTCTTAGGTAACGATTTCTCTTCTCTTAATCTTAGTTATTTACTATATTATATTCCTTTGATCATGTCTTATTTTATCGCTTTGATTAGTTTAGTTTTAATTATGTGTGAGTAGTTTTATTTCTAGGGTTTATGGGGATCCATAAATAATATGAAGGGGTAATTTATTGTTGTTAATTGTCAATGCTAGATTAATTTCCTATTGATTGATTTAATGCTCTGTGACTAGATTTGCGCAGATCTTTTATGCATGAGTTTGACAATATTGATTTGAGATTCGAGAGATGAGAATTAATGTTTAGGTCTAGTTTCAATAGGCATGTTAATTTATAAATGGTTAAGTCAAGATTCGAGAGATGAGATTTAATACCGGTAAATTAATTGTGTGATTGTAATACGTAGCGAAAGCCCTTTATGATCTGATTAATGTATGCATTGATGATTGATTATTATGTTTTACCCTGGAATATTATTTATTGGTGAACCTATGCCCTAGATATTTTATTCATTGTTTTCTCCTTATTCTTAGTCTTCGTACTTTAGTCTCCGTTAATTATAATATATTGGTTACTTTATAATCTAGATTACTTTAATTAATTAGGAATAGAAAGACTCGTTTCTCTGTGGATTCGACCCTACTTCCCTATCTACATTAGTTAGAGGATTTAGGAATTACTTTTGATTAGGTGATACGACTTTAGCATGTCAATAAGCACCAAAATTAGAAGGAAAAATAAAGGAGATATATTCGAAAGGAAGAATTTGGGAGATACATGGTGACACGTGCATTAGCTTAGTGATTACTCACAACCAAAGCTTACAGATTTTCCACACCTCACTCCCACTCCGGCTCTTGATGGGGTACACTTTGAGATTAAACCCCAATTTATAACGATGATAGAAAGGAAGCAATTTAGTGGAGCTAAGGGTGAAGACCCAAATCTTCATATTGCAGACTATTGTTAGTACTGTAACACCATCAGGCAAACAGGGGTCACACAAGACCAAATCAGGGAGATTCTCTTTCCTTTTTCTTTAACTAGAAAAGCCAAATTATGGTTTAATGGATTAAATAGAACTGCACTTGGTATAACTGACTGGGAAACTCTTGTTTTGAATTTTTATAACAAATATTATCCTGTAGAGAGAACAGCTGTTCTACGGAGTGCAATTCAAAAATTTGCCCAAGAGGCCGATGAAACTTTATATGAGGCTTGGGAAAGGTTTAAGGACCTACAAAGAGAATGCCCCCACCATAATTTGGCACAATGGCAGTTAATCCAAGCCTTTTACAATGGCATTGGAAATTCATCTAGAATAATCTTGAATTCTGCCGCTAGTGGGAGGTTTATGAACCTTAATGTTGATGATGCAGGTCAAGTTATCGAAGATATGAGATAAATAATTCCCAATATGGGAATCCTAGAGGCTTTGCTAACAAGGCGAAGCATAGTGTTGACTCTGTATCATTTTTGCAAGCTCAATTAACCTCTATCTGCCAGAAATTAGATAATCTTAGTACTGCAAATATAGCTAATGTTTCTGCAATTAATAATAATGCTAATGAGGCTTTCTGTGAAATTTGTGGAATTTTAGGTCATTGGGAACAAGATTGCAGAAGTTCCGTGGAGCAAGTCAATGGCTTTCAAGTTTATAGGCAGAATAACCCATACTCCAACACCTACAATCCTGGGTACCGGAATCATCCGTACCTTTCCTACCGGAGTACCAATGTTCAAAATCCACCACCACCACAAGAACCACATGTGCCACAATAACAACAGCAGAAATATTACCACCCCAATGCTGGCCAGAAGAACCAACCACAACAATCCTCCTCATCTTCCAACCCTGCTTTGGTAGAAATTAGAGCGATGCTAGTTAATATGCAGAAGCACATGGAGTGTAGAGATGCCCAAATTGATTCGATCCTAGCACACAATAAAATTGTAGATAATCAAATTGCGCAAATTTCCGCTACTCTACAAGCCCGTCAACAGGGAACCCTTCCAGCACAGCCGACTAGGCCTACGGATCAAGCCTATGCAATTAATCTAAGGAGTGGTTCAAACTATGAAGGGCCCCCTATGCCCAGAGATGATGAACCTATTTTAATAAATAATGCTAATCTTGATTCCGTTAAACCTGACAATGTAGCAAATAGCCCTGCAGGGCTAAAGAATAATACTAATATATCTGATTTTACATTGCAGGGTATGACCCTAGGGAAGGTGGCCACTCCAGATAAGAGAAATAATGCTCCAAAGCCAGTTATCAAAATTCCATTCCCCAATCTTCACTTGAAATCAAATTTGGATAAGCAGTTTGGTAAGTTTCTGGAAATGGTAAAAGATTTGAAGGTAATAGTTCCCTTCACTGAATTAATTACACAAATTCCTGCATATGCAAAATTCATGAAGGAAATATTGACAAGAAAAAGGTCTATTAGTGAGGTAGAGATAGTAACTTTCACTGCAGAGTGTAGTGCCGTACTTCAAAATAAATCTCCACCTAAATTAAAAGATCCGGGTAGTTTTTCTATCCCTTTTCATATTGGCAATCTAATGATTGATAATGCATTGTGTGATTTGGGTGCTAGCGTTAGTGTTATGTCATTATCTGTGTGTTCCAAGTTAAATATGGGTAAATTAAAAGCTACCAATATTACTCTACAAATGGCCGACCGTTCTTTTAAATACCCCTTAGGTGTTTTAGAGGACGTTTCTGTTAGAGTAGGTAAATTTTACATACTTGTTGATTTTGTTGTTTTTGATATGGCTGAGGATATGCAAACTCCAATTATTTTGGGTAGACCATTCCTTAACACTGCAGGAGCATTATAGATGTGAGAAGTGGCAAATTAACACTATCAGTAGGGGACGATAAAATTATTTTTAATCTTAATAATACCCCTAAAATCCCCATGATAGAGGAGAAGTGCTTTAGTGTTAATGTGGTTCAAAGTTATTCTAACAAGCCCCAAGCTCTTGTAAAAGATCCCTTGGAGGCGTTATCTTGTGTTGCATCCC